CAAAAATCAAAAGAAAAGTTAATCGATGGAGCCTTGAATGTAAAATTGAACGCATTTTCGCTTGATGCCCTCCATCAAAGTCTTTGCAGTGTCATCCGGTACCAGTTTCTCATTTTTTTTTCCATTTTCTTAACATGTCTTTCTCGTCTTTGACTGTCTTCTTGCTCTTCCGAAGTTCCCGCTTCATTATTGCCCAGTACTGCTCCACCGGGCGCAGCTCCGGACAGTTTGGCGGATTCATGTCCTTTGGAACAAAATGGACAGAATTGGCCTCATACCACTCCAGGACACTTTTAGAATAGTGGCATGATGCCAAATCTGGCCAAAATAGCGGAGCTTCGTCGTGCTGCTGCAAGAACGGCAAAAAGCGCTTCTCGAGGCACTCAGATTTGTAGATCTCGCCATTTACTGTGCCCTTTGTCACGAAAGGCTCACTCCTCAGTCCGCAAGAGCAGATGGCCTGCCAAATGAGATATTTGGAGGCGAACTTCGACATTTTCTTCTTCTTAAATTTGTCGTCCACATCGAACTTGCTCTTGCCGGTGAAAAACTCCAACCCCGGAATTTGCTTAAAATCGGCTTTTATATACGTTTCGTCGTCCATCACACAGCAGCCATATTTTGTCAGCATCTTCTCGTAGAGCTTCCGTGCCCGAGTTTTAGCCGTCGATTGTTGCCGCTCATCGCGGTTTGGGAAGTTCTGTACCTTGTATGTATGTAGTCCAGCTCTCTTCTTTGCATTCTGGACGTAGCTCTGCGACATGCCGATCTTTTTAGCCAAATCACGGCTTGAGACGTTGGGATTTGCTTTAATCATCCGCTTCACCTTTCCCTCCGTCTTTTTGTTCTCCGGTCCCGGTTTTCTTCCAGCTCCTTTGCCGTGGTCCAACGTCAACCGCTCCTGGAACCGCTTCAACACTCTGGAGACGGTTGAATGGTGAATGTTCAACATTTTTCCCAACTGCCGGTGCGACAGGTCAGGAAATTCCAGGTGTTTGGAAAGAATTTGTTCTCTTAACTCGCGTTGGTTCACCTCCATTTTCGTTGAATCGAAAAACACGACTTCGAGTTTGACAGCATGTACACAATACACATCAATGAGAAAGTGTGCAAAATTTGGTTGATTTTTACACAATGGTAAAAAAGTTATGCCCTGTTGAATGTGTCGCAATAATTTCGTGTTCGCCTTTTAAGGTTCCCTTTTCACCTGTGCATACCTTGGTTTTCTTTGCATGCACGTAACCTATAGCTCATACCGTAGTAGGCTGTGTATAAAAGAAAATGATTTACTTAGTTTGACAGTAGTACCAACAATCAATACGAAACTAACGATTTTAAATTGGCTCACTACTTGACTAGCCTATTGGTCCCAAGCAAATGATTAACGTATCCCATTCTAGTCGAAATTCTAGTACTACGCAATGTTTGTTTTGATTTGCTATGAAAGTTTGACAGATAAAATGAGGGGTTATTGGTTTTTCCTATGTTTCGAGGGGTGAATCGATTAGCTTGGGACCGAAGAGAGTACCAGAGCTGAGCCAAAAAGTTGAGCACGTTATTTCGGGACCTTCTAGTCTTAGAGTTACCTCTATGGTAGTACCATGATAAAGTGGCAGCGTATTCGTGATTTGACATTTCAATCGCAATGGGAGTGTCCGGGTGCACCGTGAAAAGGATTTAAGACAGAAAAAAGAAAGGACAACTATCCGCAAAGGTAACCACAGGTCGTCCGAGATCATCTCGGGTTCCGAGGGTTATCGCTGCTATCAAAACGAAGATTCGGGTGAATCCAGTGCGTTCAATAAGGAAAATGGCAAAGGAACACGGGATCAGTGACTTTACGGCACGGAAGATCGTAAAGGAAGATTGCGGGGCGAAGTCGAGGGCACGGAAAAAAAAACTCACATGATTACCAACCGCATCAGGGAGCTACGAGTCGAACGCTGCAAGAAAATCTTGAACTTCCTTAAACAAAAAAATCCGGTAATCCTGTCCACCGACGAGAGCATGTTTACCGTCGATCCCGTATCAAATTCCAGAACCGACCGGTATATTAGTTCTCTTCCGGTAAAAGACGTAGCACAAGAACGTGTATCTGACCAAGCATCCTGCTAGCGTTATGGTGTTTGGATTGGTGGCTTCCGATGGCAAAAACAAAAATGGACCCGGTGTTTATTCCAGAAGGCGACAAGGTCAACACGGAGGTCTTCACCCAACCAGTGGATGTAAGATTCGCTTACAATTATGTGGGATTCATCATCAGAAGATGTAAGTGGAGACCGCATGAACCGAGGATGCGATATACCTAGCTGCGGTCCAATGCAAGAAAATTGGAGACCGAAAAATTTAGAGTGTATTAGTGAGGTAAATTAATTATGTCGAAAAAAAATAGGAAAAAGGTTGCCGACTGGACTCGAACAACGAACGTTGCGATTATCAGACCTGTGCTTTCTCCACTGCTCTCTCCATGCTTCTGAATAAGGATAGCCTAAAAGCAAACAAGAAGCGCTCATTTCCTCTCACACTCGATTTCGTATGCTTTTTCTGCTGGAGAGATTCGAGGCAAGGGTGTGCGTCGTTCTACCATGTTATGCATAAAAATCAAGGCAAATGCTTGCTTGTGTAGGTGAAAGCACAGACAGAACACGAAATAAAAAAGGCAAAAAAACATTACATCGCCTGCAAGGTCAACTTCTAACATTCGCTGCGATGTTCATGAACAGAGGATGATAGGAAACGGAACTAACATTCATTGTAATAGATTTTTGGTTTGCGTGTACTTCGAGATTTTAAGCAAGTATTTTCTTCCGTGGATCAAAGAACAGTACGGTCCAAAGCCAAATGTTGTATTTCAACAAGATGGGGCTCCGTGCCACACCTCGAACCGCACTCAGAAGTGGTTGCAGGAACATCTTCCGTTCTGGGCGAAGGATATGTGGCCGCCATCCAGCCCGATCTCAATCCGCTGGATTACTCAATATTGCGCGTAATGAAGGCCAAGGCCTGTGCTAAACGCCACCCGAGTACAGCAAGCCTCAGACAAACATTGACCCGTACCTGGATAGAAATGGATCCAGACTACATTATTAGAACCTGCCGTGCATTCCGGAAACATGTGGAGGCCGTAATTGCAGCAATAAAAAAAACTCAGAAACGAAATTTTTGAGATTTTTTTTTAATTTTGACATTGCTCAATGGTGCAAACATTATCACGTATACGGTAGTTTGGGCTCCAATTCATGAACTTCTTCCTGTTAAAAAAAAACCCCGAAGAAAAATATTCACCCTATTCTTAGACGCTGGATATTTCTCCGTTTTCTGCGATGGTAGAATTTATGGACAATACTTGCTGATTATCCACACTACTGTTTATTTCAATGACGATACACGAAGCATTAGGATCATGGTCATTGGGCCATCCCCAAAATTTCCTTAGACTGAATCAAAGTGCAATCAATTGTAGCAATTTCAGCCTCTATCAGTTCGTTGAGTAATTCCTTATTATTTTGGGCTTTAGTATGTTTTATTTCAGACAGTTTTACATGACTAGATCGTTCATCTTTTCGTTGTTCCACACCAGTTTCATCATGAGTATTGAAATTGATCAGTTCAATCTTGTCTTGTTTTTCTATCACAATGAGAAGCAGCAGCATAATCATCGCCTGAGAATGAATGTTCGTCAAACAAACCCGGGTTCTGCGTCATAAAGTAGTCGATTGCTTGAGAATAGTGCTTCTTTAACGGACCCATCACTGCAACGTCCAACGGCTGTAGCCTATGTAACGTGTGTGGTGGTATTGACATAATTTTGACATGATTCTCACTTGCCCGCTCCAGGAAGCTGATATTTTTGGTATGGCTGATTCGTGCTCCAAAGTGCGTTCTGCCCTCAAGCTAAGTTTTGAACAGTCTTGGCTAAATGCTTGAAAATGTGTATTATAAATTATGGATGTTATCTTAAAGTTCAATTGTGTACGGTACAGGTGGAGTATGCTTTTCACAAACCATGGTTATAAGCGATTGGTAAATGCTTATTGAAATACCACAATTGTTTACTTGTAAGGCAAAGGGATTGATATTTCTTTAGTTTTATTTTATTTGGTGCATTTTTGTATTACAAAACTGTGAATTACTCTGATTTATGAGCAAATTGTTGAAGTATACCTCATTTTATGAAACAGTTTCGAAGATTTAGACTAATTGATTTAAATGGGTCATTTTACCCCCACTGGTGAGTTTTGAACTGCTCTCCCCTACCAATGCTACCGACCACCAGGGAGGCAGAGCTCCCACACCTGGACCCATTACATTAACTCATGGACCGGGGACCAACGGCTTTACTTCCCTTCCGATGGAAGGCGTGGTAAAAGATTTTATGCCACAGAAAATTCCGGCAGCCCCGACTGGGATTGAATCCAGGCCCATTGGAGTGCAAGGCAATCGTACTTACCACTACACCACCGCCGCCGCTATAAATTTCAGTGTTAATCTTATAGACTTAGTTGCAATTTTCTGATTGTCTAGAGTATGCATTTTCAAATTTCTTCCAAAACATGCCTTACCTGACCTAACCTGACCTCTTATGGCAATCCATCCAATCCTATGTTTGTGCGAGAAATGTTGTTATCAGATCATCGCGACTTATATATAAACGTTATTTACGCGCAAAGGTCCTCCTGTTTCAGCTTTATAAAACTTAAGCCACCCCTTACTCGCATCACTGATGTCAATAATGAACCCCTGAAAAATTTCAATAAAATGTGCTCCAATTATTCCTATTTCCCCTTTCCTTGTTCAACCGCTTATATTCCTTGCTCGTCTGTCGTTTTCTACTCTTCATCATGCATCGATGAGCCCTTGGCGCATCCCTATATGCGTTCATCCATGTGTTTCACATTCGCCGATGATGATCCTGTCCGATAAAGTGCGAGAATTATGTAGCAAGGAGCAAAAGTGGCTCGCGCACATCGAATGCCATAACAGTACGTTCGATGCACTCATCCAAGCCAGATCGTTGGCCCTAAACCCCACTGAGGACGTTCGTCGCTTTTACTCAACATTCGTTCAAGTCTCTCCGGTGTGATAAAAAAGAAGATCATTTCAGTGTTTAAACGAGATCAACACGTTCGCGCAATCGGAAGCAGGATATTGGTCTGAGGTGTGAAAGAGGAGAGCATAAATCATAAAACACACTCTCTGCTGAACACGAGAGTAAGGTGGAAAATTGGACTACCTACATCAAAAGAGTGATGATAATTTGAGTGCGCCGGCAGCGATGGACCACTACTCGACGGTTGGATTGGATCGCATTAGCGGCTACGGGCTGACGGTGATGGAAGGCTATTTACCGAATTACTCAACCGATGCGTCCCTGTACCGCAGCTTCAGTTCCTCGGGCGACACAAGCCCATCGTTCACGGGTCATGATGCGAGTGTCAATTATGGGTTGTCTTCATTCACGGAAATGATTATCGACAGCGAAAGCTTCGTTCCGGTTCAGGCAACAACGACGGCAGCGGCGACGACAAAACATGATTACCTGGATCAGCGACTGTTGGATACCCAAAACCAGCAACCAATTACCCCCGTTCCCGCAAATGACCCAATTAAACCACCGAAAGCACGTGCTAATAAAAACAAACGACGGAATCCAGAGCCCGCTGCTGGCTCCAAGTGCCCGAAAATCTCGAAACTAGATCAAAACACCGCAAAAAATAATCCCATCACGCCTCCGAGTCCGACCGTCATGAAGAAAAGGCGCCTCGCGGCCAACGCAAGGGAACGAAAACGGATGAATAGCTTAAATGTAGCGTTTGATAAATTGCGGGAAATCGTTCCAACGCTGGGGCCGGATCATAAGCTGTCCAAATTTGAAACTCTACAAATGGCGCAGACATATATCAATGCGCTAAGTGATTTACTCGAGAGAGGTGCCGACGAGACTACCTACAGTTTGTTCGACAGCAGCAGTCCGGAAACGGCAAGTGATAGTAACAATAACCATGATCAAGATGGGCGCTTCGAGATTCAAAGGTTCTATGAAGTGGATTTCCTGTAAAAGAAGACCATAGTTTTAGGAATGTGCACCAAATGTAGAATAAGTTCCGAACAAAGCCAAATCTAGTCTTAAGGTGAAATTGGTGAATCTCAAAAGAGTTGGGACATTGATTCATATCAATTTTATGCTTAATAAAATAGTTTAAAAGCAGTGTAAAGTTGTTGTGTATATCTTTGTATTTGAAACCGAACATATCCATGTATTGCTAGAATTTTATATTAATTATTAATCAAAATTTCTGCAAAGAGGATGTACTTGAAAAAAATATATATGAGATGAAAGCATTCATATTCACCATAATTCATAACCTGATTTTTTTATTCCAATCAATGTGAACGCATCCTTAGTAGGGTAGTTCAAATGATCGATTTTGCTCCATACATGTCAATCAATTCCGAATCAGTCCGAATCATTCTTGCTCAATCTTGATATTTGCATACATAGGAAATTACAACTACAACTTTGCTGACAGTCACTTTTTAAGTAAACGTCTCGATTAAACATTGATGTCTGTTTTGTTTTTAAGTCTTCAAAAGTGGTGTGTAAGAAATTTATAACTAGAAAAACCGCACAGTATCGCTTTGAGGGTGTGGGAGCGCTGCACAATGGTCCCAATGCCGTATTTAGGAAGACAAAGATGTTTGCGCTAAAATAGTTGATTTTAGGCATATGATGTCTTGCGGAAAGTTTCTTCATATGTTTTGGCCATTTTTTATGTTAGTGAAATTAGGGTGGTCCATAAAATTGGTGAATTGAAAATGTAAACTTTTTTATTATGTGAGATAGATCAGTGAAATGCTGTAGAAAGATGTAGAACAATCAATTTGCGGCACCTTTGCTGAAGTCATCAAACTTCCATCTCTTATGGTTCATGAGTTATTATTTTTTTAAACAAGCAAGTTAGGGTGGCCCCTGAAAAATTGGTTTTGCCATTTAAATGATCTTTATTTCTTGTGATTGTGTGGTTTACATGTATGAATTTGTTAAGTGACACAGATGCGTCTTTTCAACTTTGGTACATTTGAGATTTTAATTATTATTTACAGTTCCTAGTCCTATCAGGCCTATTTTAAAGTATGACCACCTTGGTGGGATTGGTTTGATTTGAATTGGAAAAAGGAGACTACTTATAACTACTATTTACAACTACAACTAACCTACAACTACTATATACACCTAACCTACTATATACAAATTGCTTATCAAAGCATGTTCAGATAAATTACATTTTTGTGTAAATTTAGTCTTAATTTCGTTAATTTTGGAATCTATTTTGGCAATGCCTGGCTCTTCATGTAAATTTGTTATTCTAGTGTCGAAAGGACGATCAAGAACCATCCTCAGCACTCTATTCTGAGCTACCTGAATTTTGTTCCTGTGAGTCTGTGCACATGATTCCCACACCGGAGCTGCGTAGAGGATCGCAGGTGCTACGATTTGTTTGTAGACGGCCAGTTTGTTCACCCTTGAGAGGCGGGATCTGCGGCAAATCAGCGGATACAGACTCCTAACCAAGGCGGAACACTTGACTACGGTTTTCTCCACATGCGAGCGGAATAGGAGCTTTTCGTCAAACAACATCCCGAGATAGGTTACTTCGGCGGACCACTCAACCCTTGTGCCATCCATGATTACAGTACAAGATGGAGCCGGTTTCAGTTTAAGCGATTGCCGATGGAGGAACATGATCGCTTGTGTTTTGGAGGCATTGATTTTGATTTTCCACGTGGTGGCATAATCAGTAAAGGCGTTAAGGCATCGTTGAAGTTTGTTCGTTATTTCGCGAGGCATCCTTCCTTTGACGGCTATTGCGGTATCATCTGCGAACAGGAAAAACACGCAACCGTCTCCAAGGGGAGGAATGTCGGAAGTGTAAATGCTGTAAAGCAAGGGTCCCAGCAGACTGCCTTGCGGGACTCCTGCTGGGATGAAAAACGTGTCGGAAAGACAACCATTCAACGATACCTTAAACGACCTTTGCTGGAGGTAGCTACGGGTGATTTTAACCAGATGTAATGGAAAGTTGAAGTTACAAAGCTTGTATACAAGCCCATTGTGCCAGACATTATCAAACGCTTTCTCAACGTCTAACAATGCCATGGCTGTGGACTTGGATACAGCTTTGTTACTTCGGATGTTATTCATCACCCGCACTAGCTGGTGATTGGTGGAGTGCCCCTTTCTGAACCCAAACTGTTCCGGAAGGAGAATGTTATTTTCCTCGACAAACTTGAGCAAACAATTGAGAATGAGTTTCTCGAACAATTTGCTCAGCGCTGAAAGGAGGCTGATTGGTCTGTAGCTTGAAGCTAGCGTTGGGTCCTTCCCGGGTTTGCGGATAGGTATGATTTTCGCTGTCTTCCAGATACTTGGAAAGTAGTGCAGTTCCAAGCATCTGTTGAAGACAGCAGCCAGCAGAGAGTGAACCTTCATGCTGAGATTTTTCAACACTAGGTTGAATATTCCGTCAAACCCGGGGGCCTTCATGTTTTTGGTGCATTTCAGCGCTGAGCAAATCTGTTCCACTGTGATTCTATCCTCCGGAGAGATGGCACAAGGGGAGGAATCAAGGTTGAGTACGCATTGCTCAACCTGAACTTCGAGCGGACTTTGGATGTTGGAGCCAAGCAAGTGCGATTTGGCAATATGCTCACCAATCGCATTTGCTTTCTCCTGAGGGGTGATTATGAGCCGATCGTCATCATTTTTATCTTTGAGTGGTGGAAAGGGTTTAGGGTGCGTCTTTAAGACCTTGGCAACTTTCCAGAATGGTCTGGAGCGGTCGTCCAGATTCTGGACAAGCCGCCCGAAACTTTCGTTCCGGAGTGAGACCATTCTGGAAGCAATCTCCTTGTTCAGATTGGCCATTTCACGTTTCCTCGCTAGATCTCCAGTCCTCTGAAACTGGCGTCTACGAACATTTCTCAGGCGAATTAAGAGTTGAGTGTGGGAATCAATAGCAATAAACTTACCCCTCACAGGAACTCGTCGGACGCACGCCTCGTCAGCCACGGTTATGGCTTGGTGGAGTACTTCCAACGCTCGGTCGATGTCCTCCACGGAGTCAAGCGGCGGGTTGTCGATGATGTGCCTGTCTACCACGCGTCCAAACTGGGCCCAGTTTACGCGATGGTAGTCCTTGCGCAGGCTTGGAGCAGCAGCTACGTTGTATCCCAGTTCAGCCACCACCGGTTGATGGTCGGAGCTGAGTTCGTTTAAGGCTACCGGCTTGGACAAGCCGGTATTTGAAAGAAACAGGTCTAGCGTCGATGGGTTGCCTGCCGGTGAGATGAATGTTGGCTCGTCCGAGAACCAAACGGAGTACAGCCCATGCTGCGAATGGTCGAACAGCAGACGACCGTTCTGGTTCTGCTGGTAGTTCCGCCATGCCTCATGACGAGCATTCAGATCTCCTCCAACAACGAAGCGGGAACCGGTACGGGTGATGGTGGACAGGTCCTTCTTAAATTTAGCCGCTAGTCCACTACTGGCGGCACACTGTCGAGGGCAGTAGACGGCGATGAACTGGACGTATCCAGTCGACGACTCCACATCCACACCAAGGGCCTCGATGATAGAGGTGCGAATATGGGACAGAGTGTGGTATTTTATTCCTTTCTTGACGACGACCGCAACACCACCCCCCCTGGATCTGGTGCGATCAAGCCGGATAATGTTGTGTTCAGGCAACCAGAAGCTGTCGCCGGACTTTAGATGGGTCTCGGTTAGAAGGCCCACGTCGATGCTGTGCTTGCGGAGGAAGTCAGCAAGCTCAATCTCTTTTGCTCTTACAGAGCAAGCATTCCAGGTGACGATAGTTAGCGGTTTAGACGCCATACTGGATGATGAACTTACCGAGCACCTGGATCTGTTCGGGCTTATTGCGGCACTTACGAAGAGCACCGGACATGTTGACGAAAATTTCCATCAGTTCATCCGCTGAGAACAGATCGGGGTTGTTGTTTTGCGCTGTTGGTTGTCTCCAGAATCCAGGGGGGGATGGAGAGCTTTGGCCAGCAAAATCACCGGAAGCTTCTTGAGGGGGGGCGGGTTGCACCCGCGAATTCGCTTGCCTTTGCTGGGGAGCACGAAGAGGCGGAAAATCCTCCGTCCTGAATGATGGGGTTTTGTCCTTCTTGCGTCCTGGTTGATTGTTGCTTGACGCCTGCTTTCGGATGCGTTTGAAGTCCTCGCGTTTGGAGCACTGTCTGTCGGAACCTTGATGTGCACCACCACAGTTAGCGCATTTTATCGCCACGGCTCCATCCGCAGGGCAGTTGAAAGTGGCGTGTTCTTGAGCGCAGTTGCTGCAGCGTGGCTTAATGTTGCAGTTGCGGGTACCGTGTCCAAAATTGAGGCACCTCATACACTGCGTTACGTCACCATGGCCGCCACGGTATGGCTCCCACCGTACGATGATGGAGCAGATTGATCGGATGGCTTGTAGCGCATTGAGCGTCACTGTCCCTTTCTGGAAGTGCACCAGGAAAAGACAATCCGGGTACGTCTTCACGTTTTCGTCTCTCCTTGTCATTCGGAAGACAGCGATTGGGGCAAGCTTGTACCGGTTGATTTCAGCTTCGACCATCTTGGGGTCGAAGTTTGGTAGACCCCTGATGACTACCTTGAAGGGCTTCTCACCGGGGATGTCGTGCGTGAAGAATTCCGCCTTGGTATCCTTCAGATGTTTCACGGCCACTTCGTACTCCGCTTTTGTTCGGAGCATCACCTTGGTGCCGATCCTGCCGAGCTTAAACTCAGCTGCAACGCCCAGCGATGAAAGATCGCCAATCAGCGTGTTGAGTGGGACTTGCTTCACCACCAGTGGAGGAAGCTTCATTTTTGCTGCACTCGGGCTGGCAGCAGTTTCGTTGTCGACGGCGTCGCCGAAATCACCAATGACGCTGACGTTCGTCGCGGTGGCATCGTCCCGTCCACTCGCACCATCGGACTGGCCTTGATTTTTCTTCCTCTTCTTTGACCGCTTCACCGTGGCTGAGGTTGTATTCCCTACATCGGTGGGAAGAGTAGCGTACCTATTCGAAATAGGTACACTCAAGCTACCCTCACCGCTGTTCTTCTTCTCCGTTTTCTCTCGGAGCCTGCTCCGGGAGCGCTGTCTTCCCATCACACGGAGCGACCGACACTACT